CACTGGAGTTTCACCCGTTTAACGTGAAGTGGTGTAATACTCCATGTAAATTAAAAGACGTATATGTTTCCAAGAACACCGGTAATACGTGTTGGAGGAATATATATTTTCTTTCCTCTGCTGAGCTCAGGAGTTTCCTCATAGTTGTAGGAGTTTATATATATGAATTCGGGTAGAAATGTTCAGAAACCAACAAGAATTCTCCAATATTTCCTCGCAGAATTTTCATATTGCCACCAACACATGTAGTTGACCATGTGCATATTTTCCTTTTCACTAGTGTTTTTCATATCACGGGTGAAACTACAGTGTAGTTTGTTGTTTTCAGGGCATTCCTCTGTGCGCGGCAGTTGCGATGGTGTTTGCTTTGAAGCACGGTCGCCCGGATCTACCGTATGCATTCAACAGGAAAGAGGCGAAGGATCATGGGGAAGGAGGAGTCATTGTTGGAGGCCCATTAAAGGGAAGAGTTTTGGTAAGATGGTATTGGGTTAGAAAAAATAATAAGTGTCCTGATAGAGTAAATTTTGAAAAAAATACATCTGTTATGAGGAGTTCACTGGGTATATACGAATTTCTTGTTTATGGGAGTTTCACCCGTTTTACGTGAACTCGGTGAAAAAGGCGATATTCGCGCCGCTATATGCAGTAGTCGTGAAATATGTTTTTCGCTAGTGTTTTTCATATCACTAGGGTGAAACTCCATTGCATACGTATAGCACGCGTCATCTAGAAACGCACGAGCTGGGCTGAAACGTTTCATTTCGTTTTAACGAATTTCAGCTCGAGCGTCTTAGAGCAGTGAGTCCCAATACTCGATTACCGTAAATACATGTCGCGCGGTGGAAATTCGACGAAAAAATTTTTTCGTTATTTTTATTTCCCGGCCCCAGCGTTTCGGAGGACGGTATAGATTATTTAAAATTGGAAATTTTTTGATGAATTCCTGCTTTGAGCATTTTTATGAATCACCGCGAAACGAATATTCACTGGAGTTTCACCCGTTTAACGTGAAGTGGTGTAATACTCCATGTAAATTATAAGACGTATATGTTCCCGCGAACACCGACAAAACACTTGTTTTCTACCAAGTATATAACTTGTATTATAAATTTCGTATTCCCTATTCATATTCATAATTGCTCTACATTGAAGTTTCACCCGTTTTACGTGAAGTGGTGTAATACTCCATGACGTATATATTACCGCAAACACCGATAATATAATTGTTTTTCGAGAAGTGAATTGTGAAATGCATCTTACCAGTGGAACTCCAGTGTTGTTTTCAGTTGATCGACGATGTTATTACTGCGGGGACCGCCATCAGTGAGAGCGTGCAGTTGCTGGGGCAATTTCCTGAATGCAAATTGGTGGGAGTAATAGTAGCGTTGGATCGGCAGGAAAAGGCAACTGCTGAGGCGAAGCGAAGCGCCGTTCAGGTAGTAACTGAGGGCATAGGTTGGAACGCTGATGTTTTTGCAAGAAGAATTTTCTCGAAATTTCAGTAAAATTTTCTTTTTGTTGCCAACACATGTAGTTGACAATGTGCGTAATTTTATCACATGTTCATAGGAATATTTTCTCATTCATGTGAAATAGTTTCGCGTCCTCTTCTTCTTGCGCCGCACCTCTTCGACGAGTATAGAGGTATAGCTGGGGGCTTAGTCACTGCCTGAGCTCTGGTGAACGGATAGATAGTGTGTTACACGGCAGATGAGTAGTTTCGAATCGATTTTCATTAATCTTGGAAAATAACGCACATTTACATTTTTACATTTGCATATGAGATTGACATTCTCTGATTCACTTGTTTAACGTGAAGTGGTGTAATACTCCATGTAAATTGAAAACCGTAAAATTATTTTCCGCGAAGTAAAATGTGAAATATGTTTTTCATATCACTAGGGTGAAGCTCCATCATTACATCTTGTACGAAATTAGAGTTTGACCCTTTTTACGTGAAGTGGCGTAATACTCTGATATTCGCGGTAGTATAATTTTCACTAGTGTTTTTCATATCACTAGGGTGAAACTCCATTGTATGTAGTTGGCCAGCGCGAAGTATGGCATCAAAATTTACTCTATCATTCAACTGAGTTCTATACTCACTTACGCAAGGCAGCAGCAAGAGCAAAGTTCGGAGGCGATCATTCCAGCTGGGATGGAAGAAGCTCTGGAGAAGTATAGGCAACAGTATGGCGTGTAGTAGATTTCGGAAATGTTTTTTTATGATTTTTTGAGATTTGATTTAGTTTTGGGAGGAAGTTTGTTGTTGTTGTTGTGTTGAATTCAATTCGAGGTCGTCAACAAGGGCTCATGCGACTTTGAGAAATAACGTTCCCTAGGGTTTGATAACAATGGGGAAAATGTTGCTAATGTGATGATGACATTTACATGGGAAACTGATTGAAGAATGTGTTCCTAGCCATCCGTGGAAAATTCAAAATGAGTCCTCCTCCCGGAACATTATAGGTTCCTGCATGGTTTGTCAATGCGTGGACGATGCTGATATACTGCTAGGGGTTTGTCGAATTTTCCATTTCTCTGTAAAAAATGAATTTACCAGTGACGATTACATCAAGGAAACGGAAGTATATTCTTGGAGGTAAGCTGGGGAAAAACGTCCGCAAACTCGAATCGGCATCACATTTCCCATGTATAATCGTTCTGTAAGTTGGGGAAAAACGTCCGTGAAATTGGATCCCCACTGTATAATCGTTTCGTACTCGGTGTTGTTTTCAGCGTGGGCGGCCAGTCTTTCGACCGGAGCTGTGTTATGGGTTAACGCGAAACGGAAAGCGGAAATTCGACATCCCTATTTGATCGAAGGTGAGCAACGGTCTTGTGGAAATCAAAGAGGACTACTTATTCGGGGCATCTCGGGCGTCTATGATCGATTGATAATATTGCACAGCGTGTGGTATGGGGTAGTCTTCCCGTTGTTATTCGCGAAGTGTTCACGGTATATCGCGAATATCGCGTTTTTCGCATGGAGAATTACCCCACTTCACGTAAAACGGGCGAAACTTCATTGTCGTTCTTGTACGTTCACTAGCCAAGATTGTGCAGAGAAAGTGTAGAGCTGTTTCATTGAGTGTTGACGCTGGTGCGGTATGAACCTGAGGAGTATACGCTTATTAATACATAATATCGATTTGTGCATTTTCCAATTCGGAATTTCCATGCTGACCCTACAGTGTGTATCAATTTGATATACATCTATCAAAAATTAATAAGAACCGATTTGTAATTATATATCGCATAAGTAGTGCTAATATTACTGTGAACATGTGATGTGATAAAAGTTACCGTTTGGGACTGTGATAGCGACAAGTTGTTCACTATTATTAATCTCGGAAAACAACGCACATTTCCCACATTTGCATATCAAATTGGCACCCACTCTATTTGTCGTCCCTCCCTATCAGGTTTGGAGATGGTGAAATCTCACCCTCTGGTGAAGCAAGTAGTTGGTCCTGAGATTAAACGTTGGAGAATGCTCGGTAAGAAGACCCCTTGTGAACAGCAGAAGTGAAAAAATAATGGAGTACGGATTCTGAATCTACTCAAAATTCTCTATCGTATAGTCATTTCGATTTCTCCTGTCCGTCTTGGACACTTTAGCACAAAAATCGGTCACCCGATATCGCGAATATCGCGTTTTTCGTAAAGAGTTTTACGTCACTTCACGTACAATGGGTGAAACTCCAATATTACTATTTCCTTTTCAACGCCGAATTGGAGAATAGTAACTTCCGTTTGGAAGGGCGGGCGAAATATGATCGAAGTTTCTCGTTCAGCAATTTCAATTTCGAAGGAGTGATGGTCTAGGAACTTAAATTCCGAAATTCCAGTGAAAACAATTTTAAATTTCGGAACTTCAATTTGGACTTGAAAACGAAATGAGTTGGGTAATATGTGTCCAAATTGAAGTACCAAACGAGAATCTATGATCACACTTCGCCGGCCTTTCTACATAGAGGTTACTATTCTTCAAATAAGCGTTGAAAATGTGTATAAGTTCATCTAGGGAACACTCTGAGGGATTAGGTCTATTTCCTGCTCCAGAAATGTTGTGTAACATACATCCTACTGCGCGGACCTCACGAGCTACTACTCATCGGTTAACAATGGAGATCCACCCGTTGATTGCGAAATGGCGCCGCCAAGTGGCAATCGACTTCATCGCATCGCGAAAAAACGCTAGTACAGACCACCTTGTGAAGGCTTACAGGGGCGGGCTCCGCGGTTTACCTTTTTTCTCTCGCGATTTTTCAAGTGAAATTCGTGATGTAGATTTTGCTAGAGTTCTCCACTACGTGGCTGTGTTTCCAATACTGACTGATTGGAAGTAGAAGCAAACTACACCGATCGAACTCTTGCAGGTTGGATGTGATTAGCAAATACACATTGAAAATTCTATAGCCCAGCTGCGTACTAATCAGTTGAGCGTGTGACAGGTATTGGCACCGTTGACCACGAAATAGGATGGGGTATATGCACGTTGCGGCTCAAAGGAGACTATGGTAAGTAGTGTTGGAGGAATATAAGTTCGCTTTCCTCAGCTGAGCTCAGGAGTTTATTCGGGTAGAATTCATGTATAGAAACTATGTGAGAATTTTCCGAAAATTTTTCGGAATTTTCATATCATATTAGGGGAGACCCTGAGTGAGTGACAGGTGCTTGTGATGTTCATCTGGCTGGCACTCCCATCGGTAGGCGAAAACGAGGCGAGCAAAGGTGGGTATAGGGAGCTGCCCAGAGGTGACTTGTTGATGATTAGTGAAGATGGTGATGATGATGATGACCTACAGGACATGATCGACGAGTTCGATATCAGAGGGAGTGGTTTCAGCTATTATTGGGAGAACCCGTGGGAGGTCAAATTCGGTGAGTCGTGAAGCTTCATCTCAACTATTGCTGTTACTACTACTACGAAGGGAATCGGAGTTTGTTGCACTTGTGTCGTGATTGGAGTGGTTTTTCTCCTCAGCGGTGATCAATGCATTTTGGCGGTCGGTGCGAGCGGCTCGGGCGTGCGCGGTTTACATCAAGAGTGCTATAACGAGATCAAGGGAAGGGTCTGAGGAGAAGGAAATTGAAGAGGTTGAAGCGCCTGAACCCTGGGGTTGTGATATAGTCTTGGTGAGGGTATTCTGAGGGGAAAATATGTACATGGTCAACTACATGTGTTGTTGACGATGTGGAAATTCTGAGCAGATTTTAGGAAATTCGCGTTGGTTTCTACTCGACGGGTAGGAAGTATTTTCTAGAAGTCGTCTGTGCATTGTTCTAGAGGATTGCCAGCTATTGGGCAGCTGAAAATGACATACCGTCTAGTCCCCAGGGTTAACACTGACATTATTGGCAAGGTTCTCCAAGTGTCGCGGATCAGCTGTTGTGAAAGGAGCTTGGATCCTACCGAGACATACTAATAGAAGCAGAGCTTCGCGCAATCTCCTCACTTGAAGCACCGCCAGCCATCGTTCGCCTGAATCGTGTGCTTTTCGAGCGAATGAGAAGATCCGGTTACTCAAGTGATGGTGATGTTAGAGAATCATTTTGGAAATATAAATGACATAACAGGCGGCTGCTTGAAAGCCATATCGAAGGCTTTTCACGTCCCAAATCACGATATTGACCAGATCATGACTCGGTACGACACAGTGGAGGCGCGTGAACTAACAATCAGTGGACCGGCTTTGGACCGATTAGAAGGTTGTGCGTTAGAAATAGCAGCTGATGACAGGAAGTCGATGGTTTATCAATATTGGTTCCCGCGTGGGGTAGCAGCCACGTTCAGGGGATCGCTCAGCTTAGAATCTCAGAGCCTGACTAGTTCCTCCAAGTCGCCGTCTAGAGTCTCGTCTTCATCCACCCTGAGACGATGCCTTGAGTCGCCTCGTGCATCCTTCCTATTTTTTCTTTATCACTCGTATCTGCTGAGCAGTGTTGAAAGAATTGTACAGAAACCATTTTCCAGAATTTCCTCAAAATTTTCGTATTTTCTCACCCAGATGTGTACGAGTGGTTGTTATCGCAGGTGCATCCCACTAACTTGAGGGACAAGCTTTGTTCGGTTGCTGGTGACCCCATGGGGCATCCTTACTTTGAGGCATTCTTGGGTCGCACTAGGAAAGCAAAGGAGGAATATTCGTACGCTCCTTCAGGGCTTCGGCGTATGATTGTGCTATATGGTTGCTAAGGTATAAGCGAGTTAAACTTGTTGTGGGGACGACATTTACTCTGATGACATTGGGGGCGATCAGGCGAATCATGCAGACCAGAAGTGAGTTCATCGAGATCAGTGCGGGAAAATATTCACTTCCAAGTGAAAATTGAGGAAATTTCGGAAAACTCCTACCCGAATTCGTATATATACTCTTTCAGCTCAGCTGAGGAGAGGAAGCATATACTTCCTCATCACTGATCAAGATAGTGAGATCTGTCTTAGGGTTTTGGCGTTCCTTTGGTTTTGCTCGAGCATTTGCAATGAGCCATCCAGTGACTAAAGCGCACTTCCCAGGTGAGGGGACCTCGCTTGGCCAGGCTGGAGCTTTTTGCAGATATGTCGAAAGTTAGCATAAAACATCGAAGTGGCACGTTCCGGTCGACCTACATCGACGGGATTATTTCATTAGGGTAGGTTGGGAAGAAATCGAATCGCAGCAGCTTCGCTCCGCTAGAGATGGTACGGTCCAGCACGATGTGCATCTAACGGGTGTTCGTCCTGATGTGAATGCACCGTGGAGGATAACGTCAGCGAGGCTGGTCCCTGACAAGGGGTCTGAGACGGAGTCGTTGAATAGAAGTAAGTGCTAGTGACAACGCTAAGTGTGGGAAAATATGCACATGGTCAACTACATGTGTTGGTGACAAAATGAAAATTCTGTGGAAATTTCGGGAAATTCCTGTTGGTTTCCGAACACTTCTACCCAAAAACGTTCATGATTAGTGGGGAAATTCTCGAGTTCAGCTGACAAGCCTTGACGTATTGGTACTGATATCAGTCAGAAATAGGTTCTTACCAGCTATGTTGTCAGTAGAACCAGGCCTATCACAGTACAGGAGTTACGTATTAGAAAGAAAGCATACTTTGAAGTGTATACACATACGAACATCCTAGCCATAGCTCCGCTCAATAATACTATGGCGTGAACGACTGGGGACCGAGACACAATAGTTGGAACATATATGTGGCATTCCCATGATAGAGTTCACATGGTCGTTTCTTAGGTGGTCGAGGCGTGAGGATGGATACAAATTACGTCCCGGATGGATTCACGAAGAGTTGATTTATGCTACCCATGTTTCTGATACTTCTATTTCTAGTCGTGTTAATCGGAGTGAAACCAACTCGAGAGTCAAAATACTAGAGAGTTCATCGGCTCTTCCCTTGACGATGCTTGCTCTCAGCTCGCTCACTGTGGGAAAATACGTACATGGTCAACTACATGTGTTGGTTCTTTTGAGGAAATTTCTTTGGATTTTGTTTTCTGTACACTTCTACCTGCTGAATTCGTATATAAACTCTTAGAATCGGCTGAGGAAAGCGAAAAAATATGCCAACACTGAGCTAGCTTGTTCGAAAAAGCATCGTACATCGTGAAAAGTATGGCACGCGTTTTCACATGAAACAAGACATCGAAAGATAGTATTTAAAAACAGCCAAACTGATCAATTCTGTTGGAACTCATTATGGGAATCGATACCGATACGGTATTTATATTACTGCAATATAGGGGCACATACGCATAACGATATGATGGCGTATATTCATCGATTTAAATAACACTAGGTTGGATATAATAGCAGGGGAATGCCTTAAAAGGCCTGATTATACTTAACCGATGTAGACTGACACCGTGAACTCAGCTGAGGGGTTTCTCCACTCTAGAGAGACACATTGTGTGCTACGAAGGATTGGGACAACGATAACGATGCACCAGCATCTTCCATATCACGTATGGCTTGCGCCGTGAACTACAGTTGATACTTCCCCCTGCATGTAGTATACCATAATACTCCTTGAAAGACGTGCACACTCTAAAGGGTGTCAGTGGGCAATAGTTTAGGCAATTTCCTATGGTTCCGTATCGACATTATATGTACATATTGTTTACCATTTCTCGACTCACTCACAGTCCAATGCTGCCGAGTTTACTACCAACGCGACTCTCCCAATATGAAGTTGAATTAGCTCAAATATGACACACGAAAATTATTCTGTACTTTCATGCGCTGACATTATCGACCATTTGGATTAACATTTATATCGGCAGAACTATTGTCTGCCGTTATGAATCGATCAAGCTCATTCATAGTGTCAACCACCTCCGCTGTCAATGACGATGATCGATGACGTAGATGTTGCTCGGCAGCTAGCAGCCTGTGAATCGACGCGAACTGGTCAAAGCACGAGTTACATCGTTCCAGTCGGTCGTCTCGGGACAAATCAACCTGATGTCCAAAATCGACTTCACCATATTGTCGCTGTTTTCCTTACCACACCACTCGTTCTTTTCGTATCCGCTGACTCAGCACTTCGCGTTGCTATGATAAGACCACCGAAATTCCTCAACAACGTTCGAGTAGCCGCCATTGCGACCGGCCGACTTTCTGGACGGCCACATAGTAAGCGAAGCTCAGGCAGGAAAACTTTCTGGCATTGACCCAAGGTCACCACGAACGACTTGTCCGTGTGGAAGACGTTTTCGAGCATTCCCATCATCAAAGCGGGTGAGCTTTTCTCGCTACTGCTGCACACCTCCAGAGCGGCGTTCGCATCAGCATCATCCAACCAAAGCTGTTTGAAGTTCCTCACAGAACTCAGCTGTTTCTTTAGAGCTTTCAGGAATCCAGGCTTCGACAAAGTGGAGGGCCGGAGATCTCCATTACTCGTCTTTGATTTTGAGGCGGGCGAAGATTTCGGCGATTTATTATTTGTCAAATCTGCTTCGTTGGTAGGAGGTGGTCTCGACAGAGATGCATTAGGTAGACTGAAGATGATATGCTCAATGTGTTGGTTGATGACAATTGAAAGTTTCACCACCCTAGTGATATGAAAAACACCAGTGAAAAACATATTTCACGACTACTGCATATCACCGCGAATATCGCGTTTTTCATCGAGTTTTACGCCACTTCACGTAAAACAGATAAAACCCCAATAATTGCTATTGATTTCCGTACATCAAGTCGTGAGTAGATTTTCACAATGTAGTTAGGAAACTCCCGAGTTCAGCTGAGCAACCGCACATACATTCCAACACTCCGTGCATTCTTGTTTCCCAGCAACGTAAGGCAGCGGATTCTATCACTACCGCATCGACTGAAGATCATTTATATTTGGAATAAACCCAGCGCGTTTGCTCCTTCTATAAGAGCACATGTAAAACGTTGGAGTTTCACCCTAGTGGTATGAAAAACACTGGTGAAAAATGTACTTCACGATTACTACATATCACCGCGAATATCGCGTTTTTCACCGAGTTTTACGCCACTTCACGTAAAACGGGTGAAACTCCAATGTGATCAAACTTTAATAACCTCCCAAACTTACCCGCCAGGATGATTATATATCTTCCGTAAATTTCGAGGTTTCCGTCGATTCTCCTTAGCCGCATTCGAGCCCGATGCAGGTGACCCCGACAGGGTGGGAGAGGCAGTTGCCTTGGGACTAGCTCTGAGAATAATGAAGTTTCACTCGTTTTACGCGAAGTGGCGTAAAACTCGGTGAAAAACGCGATATTCGCGGTGCTATGCCGTGGTCGTGAAACGTGTTTTTCACTAGTGTTTTTCATATCACTAGGGTGAAACTCCCTTAACCATAAGCACGACTTCTCCACCTTTTGATCTCAAATTCAGCAAATGAAAAAACAAATAAAAAAATTGAAATTTGTTTTCCATAAAGTGGAACGAGTTTTCCCGGAATGAAAGTTTGATTTTCGTAGACCGCTCGAAAACGAAATTCCAAATTCGTAAAGCACCAGACCAATTTCGACAAATGAGAACTCCCGGGAGTAAAATATCACAATACCTGCGAACAGTTGCTTTCCACAACTCCTGAGCTTGCTCCCCAGGACAAGACCTGAGACTCATCTATTCACCATACCACACTTCGTGATTTTCTGTACCGATCAATGGAAGCTATTTTCGGGCGCGCGCGATTGACATCGTCGTTTACCGAGGCCGTCGGGCTGGGGATTTCCAATTGTTCTGATGGCCGTATATCTAGATTGTTTAGTCGCCATATTCTAACCTATCGTGAGTGATGATGCGAGGCGAAGCACTCGAGAGGCCTCTACCTTGGGTCCATCGTAGGAGACTACCATAGCTCTACTAGAAGTACTGCTACTGCTGATTCTGATGTCGGACGCACCGGTCCACTGGCCAGGCTCCGGCAGGGGGTGAACAGACTCGCATGCGATACGGCAGAAGTTCGGGTCCCAGGAGAAGACTTTCAGAGCATCCTATAAAATTTTGTCGGAGTTTCACCCTAGTGAAAAACATATTACACACTTCACTTCGCGAAAAACACATGTGGGCAGTAAACAACGCGTGAGAAAAATTCCTAAATTCACATCATGAAAAACAACGCGCAAACACGTGTAGTGTTCCACAGGTGATATGAAAAACCTTTAGTGAGAAACATATTTCACATTCCACTTCCCGTAAAGAGATGTCCTCCAACTCCATTGAATCGAACGTTTAGAATCGAAATCATCGTCACCTGGGATGCGTGGAGCAACGAGGCCCCGTCGGGCCGAAACTTCACCAACTTCACGGCTGAGTGATCGACTTCAGATGTTCCTAAAGATACGTTTTACGCACGCTGAAGATTTTAGATACTACCAGCAATAGAGAAAGTATCGCAGTTCCACAGCTTGCAAGTTCTATCGCTGGAGCCCGAAACCAAGTAGAAATCAGCAGGGTGAAAGTCCAAGGCGGTAACCTGGATAGACCATAATGATGGAGTTTCACCCTAGTTATATGAAAAACATATTTCACTTCGCGAAAAACGCATGTGAGCAACACGTGATATGTTTTACGTGATATGGGGTGATTTGTCCGGTGTAATTCCCCAAGTATTTTCAATTCACTTCATATCGCAAATATCGGGGCTTTTCACATGGAGTATTACCCCACTTCACGTGAAACGGATGAAACTCCGTTTAACACAAACAGAGGCGACAGCCCAGGTGACTTACAGCATCTCTGTGGGGGTCCTCCATATCCTTCAACAGTTTCCCAGCGCTGAGATCCCACAGCCTTACAGAGCCGTCACTACCGCCTCCGACCAGCCACTTGCCGTGTGGGGAAAATCTAACCTACGACAGTGGAGAGGATGCGATACATGCAGGAGAACGCAGTAACTCACAACCCGTATTTTTCCGTCACTCGCCACGAAATTATGCCGGTTACTTCCTGACTGATGACCTCGATATATCTGTACGCACTTCTGTTGGCGCAGATCCCAAATCTGAGGAGAAATGTGGGCTTGATTATTTACATGATACAATTTAGGCTCGAAAACATTATCAAGAATTATGGTCCAACAGTAGAGCACTGGGCTCTAGATCCGACAATCGCCAGTTCGATTCTAGCCGAGCTCATATACCAGAATTATTCTGAACGATTTTCCATACAAACGATTTAAACCACACAGTGTGCGCATTCCAAAAATTTTATTTCATGTCACCGCCATAATTTTTCTCCAGAGCTCAAACTGAACTGAAATTTTGTATACATGCGCCACTCGCACTTTCATGTTGTTAAAATATGTATCTTCACTTTCTCTAGCAGTAAAAGAATATGATGGAGTTTCACCCTAGTGATATGAAAAACACTAGTGAAAAATATATTTCACGACTACTGCATAGCGCCGCGAATATCGCGTTTTTCACCGAGTATCACGCCACTTCACGTAAAACGGGTGAAACTCCAATGTAGAGCAATTATGAATAAGAATAGGGAATACGAAATTTATAATAAAAGTTATATACTTGGTAGAAAACAAGTGTTTTGTCGGTGTTCGCGGAAACATATACGTCTTATAGTTTCCATGGAGTATTACACCACTTCACGTTAAACGGGTGAAACTCCAATAACCTAGAATGAAGGCTCTCTGATGGGAGAAGAATCACTTCCCAACACGGTGAATCCGACAACCCACGTATACCTTGATATTAGTGTCAGCAGATGCCGTAGCAAAGAAGCTCCCGTAAGGGTGGAACTCTACTGTAGTGCATTCCGTTTTGTGGCCGGGCAGGGAGGCAACCTACAATTTATCTCACATTCTTAATACCACAATTCTCACGAAATTCCAAGGCTTTCGAGGGTTCGACGGGCTCAATCTGTATAGGTGTAGAATATATGTCCGCTTCCCTCAGCTGAGCTCAGGAGTTTCCTCACTAATTATAGAAGTTCACATACAAATTCGGAAACCAATACGATCTACCAAAATTTCCTCAGATTTTCATATTGTCACCGACACATGTAGTTGACCATGTGCATATTCCCCCCCCCCCCTCCACACTGGTGCTCACTAGTTCCGACGAAGCCACGTCCCAGACTTTGATGCCGCCACCTGTGCAACCGGAAGCGATTATTTTTTCTTGCCGGTCGAACACAGCACACGACACCGCGCTGTTGTGACCTGAGCCCGCACCGCAAGAGTGTTGTTGTCAGAATGAGTCTTACCACTGAGCGACATCACTGCGGAGTTGCCAGTCTTCTCAATTCGCCATACATTAACTCTTTCATCAACCCCACCGGTCACCAGCAGCCTCCCCGATGCAAGTCCAAGGCGACAACATAGGACTTCATCCGAATGCGCGGTGAAGGTGGTCATCTGAATTAGTGGTTGTTGTCGTTGCATTTACGTACGGTTGAGATTGGGGAAAATGACGTGATCGACTTTACCGAAATGCGCAAAGTCGAGACGACTCCTGTTTGGATGCAAGTTTTAAAATTTAAATGACTCCTTCCACAATCCGCAAATGGATCATGAGCTCAGCGATACAGGGCGTCGCACAAGTATCCCTCATTGAAGCACTAGGGCTTGTGGCTCAACGGTAGAGCATCTGACTCCAGATCAGACGGTTGTCCGTTCGAATCGGGCCAAGCTCATTTTAGTTCAATTTATAGCGCATGTCACGTCTCCCACTTCACATTGAATATCTTGCTCGTGTCCTCCCCCTGGCTGCTCAACAGCGATCTTCCCGAACTGCTGACGGATGCTGTTGTCATCACCACTCGTCCTAATGAAACTAGAGGCGCTCCTCAAGCTTAACACCAGTCCCCCGATATATTGAAATCGACACTGTTCCCTCCGGATGACCTACCCTCCTTACCATTGACAACTACACTCAAGAGGAATACGCTGACTGATGATAGCAATAGTAGTAACAACAATAAATATATAGACTGGGTCCCCCCTATTGGAGAGGTAGAATAATTCAATTTATAGTGCATGTCACATCTCCCACTTTACATTGAATATCTTGCTCGTGTCCTCCCCCTGGCTGCTCAACAGCGATCTTCCCGAGCTACTCACAGATGCTGTTGTCATCACCACTCGTCCTAGTGGAACTGAAGGCGCTCCTCAAGCTCAACAGCAATCCCCCGGTCTACTGAAATCGACACTGTTCCCTCCGGATGACCCTACTCCTCCTTACAATTGACAACTACACTCAAGAGACAATTACA